AATGAGAACACCTTTCCTAGTGACAACTGTCAAAGAAGGAAGTGATTTCCCTCACTTTGTAGAGATTTCCTCTTACATCTTGTTGGATCTCTGGGGCAGGAAGTGAAGGGAAATCTTCTGAACATGATGCAGATATAAAAAAAAGTGACAGGGGCCCAGGACCCTGCATTCACTATATCTGGTCTCCCACAGTACACAGAACATGGAAATTCAATTATTTTCGTAAATATAAACCACTAAATACCTTTTCTGATCAGCAGTATAGAGCACCCTCCCCCCAAAAAAAAATTCTCTAGCAATACACACAAAACAGAGCATGTGCAGACTTGCGACTGCTGCTCTGAAATATGGCAGGTGGATTGGAAACAGTAAATGAAGGGGAGGATCAGAGAAGTCAGGATCAAACAGCCTTTTTACACAATGCAGAGGATTAACCCCTTAGGTTTTACAATGAGTATAACAAGCATGCTTTACTGCATATACAAACTGATTTTAGTGTTGTGGGTTTAGTATCACTTTAATCCTGTCCTTTTAAAACTGAAAAAGCTTTAGCTATACAAACATTTTAACTTGATGAATAGCATGTACTGATATTGGTAAGCATTTTAAAACCACTCATAGATGGGGAGACCTTCAGAAGGTTGCATTGGGACATATCTGCCCAACTTCACTTCATCTGAGGACTGCCAAGACCTGTCACCCCTTGTCTGCGAGGGGGGGGGACCGGGGGGGAGGGGCGGGAGGGGGGGTTACTAGCCAGAACTGTTCCCCCCTTGTCTGACACCTGTACAATGGTTGCATGTGTTAGGTTGGCCATACATTATACAAATTTCATAAAATTATCTGTACAATTTCCTTTAGGTTTACCTTCAACTATGTGGTGTAAGGGCCTGCCTATTGGATACAATTGAAAGTGTTGTTTAGGTTTGACCTCATAATATATGGTTTTTTGGTAAATCTAAAGAAAAATTGTACAAGAAAATTGTATATTGTATGGCCAGCTTTACTCTACACACTGCTAATTATTGCAAGTGATTTCTCATTTAAGAATATTGGGCAGAATATGACTACTCTAAAGCTAACCACACACTGTCAGACCAGCAAACTTCACCAGCAATTATGTAGTATGAGCAGGGGTGTATCGGCAATGTGTGCAGTGTGCATGTTGCATATGGGCCCCAAGGGTGACGGGTCCCCCTGTGCACTCACTGACTGCGCACATTGGGCTCTCTGTTGTCTCCCCTATGTAGTCTCCAGTATAATGATTCCACCCCCCACCCTTGTTATTGGTTCCCAGCAATCAATGATGCTGGTTTGCACATAAGCTGCACAGCCTAGTCCAGTGTTTGCCCCAGCATTCAGTAAAGGACTGAACTTCCATCATGGAAGGATTTGACTATAGAGTTTTTTTTACTAAAAGTGCATGGTGCAAAATTTGGTGCAGCTCATCATAGAAACCAATCCGCATCCAAGTTTTATTGTCAAAGCTTAACCCTTTGAGGACCAAGGGACGTATTTGTCCCATGTTTTTAATTGCCTGTATCATCTGATTACGAACTTAAAATACTTTTTTTTTTTGGTTTGAGTCAAAATATTAGTTCTTATCAACAAATGGATCTAACTTTTTGCCAATTATTTCATGAAATGGCATAGTTACAGCAACTGAAGTGTACGAACTTTAAAAACAAAAAATTGATTCTTTTGGCGTTCCGTAATCTTGTGGTCCTCAAAGGGTTAACCCTGAACAAGTTGAAGTTATAAGCAGATTGGCTACCATGCACAGCTGCTCCAGATTCTGAGTGCACCTGTTTTAGTAAATCTCCCCTTTTGTGTGGCCAACCTGAATGTGGTTGTAGGTGTCCAAATTTAGGTGCTATCTGCCTAGGGTTACTCATAACTGGGCATATGTCTCCCCAACATAATAGTAGTTAGTTCCTTCTCCATGAGATGAGGTAAGGGTCAGGAAAGTCACAGTGACATCCTAGAATAGATAAATGCTCCTGATATTGAAAGCACTTGATGCCACTTTCCAGAGGTACACCTAAATCATTAGATCCTTGCCCAGGTGTCACATGGGACCATCAGGTCAGAACACCCATATGGAAGAAAAATATATTTGAAATATATTTTAAAAATATTCTTCCCAAATATATTGACATATTTGAAATGCTACAATTTTGGCCATATTCAATATATTTCAAAATATATTTATACATATATATATATATATATATATATATATATATATATATAATATATACACTGTATTTTTATTACAAAATATATGAACAATAAATTAAAACACATTTTCTTAAAATATCTTCAGAATTTTTTTTATATACAGTCATGGCCGAAATTGTTGGCACCCTTGATATTTTTCCTGAAAATCAAGTATTTTCACACAAAAAAGGTATTGCATTAACACATGTTTTGCTATACACATGTTTATTCCCTTTGTATGTATTGGAACAAAAATAAAAAAAGGGAGAAAAAAGCAAATATGACATAATGTCACACAAAACCCCAAAAATGGGCTGGACAAAAGTATTGGCACCCTTAACTTAATATTTGGTTGCACACCCTTTGGAAAACATAACTGAAATCAGTCGCTTCCTATAACCATCAATAAGCTTCTGACACCTCTCACCCGGAATTTTGGACCACTCTTCCTTTGCAAACAGCTCCAGGTCTCTCTGAGGAAGGAACCTTTTCCCAACAGCAATTTTAAGATCTCTCCACAGGTGTTCAATGGGATTTAGATCTGGGCTCATTGTGGCCACTTCAGAACTCTCCAGCGCTTCTTTGCCATCCATTTCTGAGTGCTTTTTGACGTATGTTTGGGTCATTGTCCTGCTGGAAGACCCAGGATCTTGGACGCAAACCCAGCATTTTCTGACACAGGGGGCCCTACAGTGCGACCCAAAATCCTTTGGTAATCCTCAGATTTCATGATGCCTTGCACACAGTCAAGGCACCCAGTGCCAGAGGCAGCAAAAAAACCCCAAAACATCATTGAACCTCCACCATATTTTACCGTAGGTACTGTGTTTTGTTCTTTGTAGGCCTCATTCCGTTTTCGGTAAACACATCAATGATGTGCTTTACCGAAAAGCTCTATCTTGGTCTCATCTGTCCAAAGACGTTTTCCAGAAGGCTTTTGGCTTAATCAAGTACATTTTGGCAAACTGTAGTCTTGCTTTTTTATGTCTCTGTGTCAGCAGTGGGGTCCTCCCTGGGTCTCCTGCATAGCGTTTCATTTCATTTAAATGTCGACGGATAGTTCGCGCTGACACTGATGCTCCCTGAGCCTGCAGGACAGCTTGAATGTCTTTGGAACATGTTTGGGGCTGCTTATCCACCATCCGGACTATTCTGCGTTGCAATCTTTCATCAATTTTCCTCATCCGTCAACGACCAGGGAGATTAGCTACAGTGCCATGGGTTGCAAACTTCTTGATAATGTTCGCACTGTGGACAAAGGCAAATCTAGTTCTCTGGAGATGGACTTGAAACCTTGAGATTGTTGATATTTTGCCACAATTTTGGTTCTCAGGTCCTCAGACAGTTCTCGTGTCTCCTCTTTCTGTTGTCCATGCTTAGTGTGGCACAGACAGACACACAATGCAAAGGTTAAGTGAACGTCTCTCCTTTTTTATCTGCTTTCAGGTGTGATTTCTATATTGCCCACACCTGTTACTTGCCCAGGTGAGTTTACAGGAGCATCACATGCTTGTAACATTCTTATTTATCCGCAGTTGTGAAAGGGTGCCAATACTTTTGTCCAGCCCATTTTTGGAGGTTTGTGTGACATTATGTCAATTTGCTTTTCTTTCCTCCCTTTTTTTGTTTTTTCCCAATACACACAAAGGGAATAAACATGTGTATAGCAAAACATGTGTTAATGCAATACGTTTCGTGAGAAATACATGATTTCCTGGAAAATATCAAGGGTGCCAACAATTTCGGCCATGACTGTATAAAAAATCATTTTAACGTATAATTTATACATAATTTATAAATGCATTCCAAAAATGTAGATTTGTATTTTTAAAGACATACAGTATATTTGAAATATATTTTAAAAAATATTTTTCAAATATTTTGTATTAAAAAAACATTTCAACATACAGTATATATATATATTTATTGAAATATATTTTGAAATATATTGGATATGGCCAAAATTGTAGCTTTTCAAATATATGTCAATGTATTTGGGAAGAATATTTTAAAAATATATTTAAAATATATTTTTCTTCCATGTGGGCAGTATCAGGCTAGACACATGAGATGACAGTTTTTGATCCATCTTTTTTCATACGTCTGTGATAAGGGGACCACCTAAAACATGTCAGCTGATCTTCCCCGTTCTCCCGTGTAAATCTTAAATGCTCTTGCAGCTAGAATGTTCCTGTGTACAGGTGAGGCTGGTCACTAATGGGAGACGCGCTGTTCGACACACCTGGAAGTGTCAACTAGCAGCAGTGCCTGTAGGTATTAAAGTGAGTGAAGAGTCTTTAAAGTGAGTGAAGAGTTTCTTGGCCCTTCAGAGGGACTCATAAGTATTCACCCCGTTCTTTTACAAGGTGCAACTCATTGAGTTTCTTTTGGATAGCAAGGTTTTTCGAAGAGTTGCCTGGTTTAGTGCTCATAAATAATACAGCGCTGAGCAAACTATTGGCGCCATATAAATAAATACTGTAATAATAATAATAATAATAATAATGTCTCATTTGTTTTAGCCATATTTGCTGTATATCTGTACTGTAGGCTTAATTCACATGGGAGGCAAAGGAACTAGAAAAACAGGCAGTTGATCCATGTTTTCACTAACTGCCCACATATAAAAAACATGATACCCACTCAGGTTCATTCACAGTGCCATGGCCATGAAGCCTCACTTCTTAGTGCAGCAAATTTAACTCTTTGAGTCATAATTGCCAAGAACTCTAATTAAAGTCAGTGAAACTGGGGTAGTATCAGGGGTGGACTGACAACTCATGGGGCCCCCGGGCAATAAGGGATCATGGGGCCCCTATGTCCTCGCCCACACTCAAACCACACCCAAAAAAGCCCATGAAAGGTACCAGGGGCATCTCTTGGGGCCCCCTACTGACCCCGGGCCCTCGGTCAGTGCCCGAGTGCTCAAATGGTCAGTCCGCCCCTGGGTAGTATTGCAATGCAAATCCCCCTGGGGATTGAAAAAAAAACCCAGTCATTTGGTGTTGAAGTTACACACCAAACCAGCTCATTTACCAGTGATCAATTGGAGAGTGGAAGGTCAACTAGATTTCCTACGCTTGTTTTTAGTCTCTCCAAGTGTTGAATATGTAGTATCTTCTACTGTAGAATATACAGTACATTGTATTTTTATGTATACATTTCACTCACCTGGGCAACTGAAAATTAGTATTCACTGTATTATTAGTATATAGTATATTATACTAGTATTAATAACAAAATAATTATTATATCCAGAGACCTAGGCAACTGAAATTGTATGCAAATCTTGACCTCTCCTATAAGAGCCAAATGTGGCTTCCTACTCTCTGCATCCTAGCCACTTGTTGGGTCAACTAAACTGTCTGTTCTGTTAAAGAGCCAATAAGAAGGCAGAGGAGGTGGAAGGAGACATGGATAAGCTCAGCTTTTACAGAAAAGGGCAACATTTCATCTTTGGCTACTTATACCTCTAAATATGTTTTACTTAAGGCAGTCACAGCATAGATATTTACTATACACCAATCAACCATAACTTTATGATGACCCACCTAGTATTGCACAAGTCCCCCTTTTGCTGCAAAAAAGAAGCTTTTTCCACCAAAAAAGTCCTGACCCAATGAGGCATGGATGACACTAGACCTCTGAAGGTATGCTGTGGTATCTGGTTCCAAGCCATCAGTGGCAGATCCTTTAAGTCCTGAAAGTTGCAAAGTGAGGCCTCCATAGATCACACTTGTTTTTCCAACATATTCCAAAGATACTCAACTGGATTGAGACATCTGGAGAATTTGAAGGCCAAGTCAACACCTCAAACTCATTGTTGCGTTCCTCATACCATTCTTTAGCCATTTGTGCCATGTGGCAGGGCATATTTTCCTGCTGAAAGAAGCCACTGCCATCATGATCCCATGAGGGGGTGTATTTGGACAACAGCAATGTTAAGGTAGGTGGTATATGTCAAAGTAACATCCACATGAATGGCAGGACCCAAGGTACTCCAGCAGAACATTTCCCAAAGCATTACACTGCTTCCACCAACCTGCCTTCTTCCCATACTGCATCCAGGTACCAGTACAGGGGCGGACTGACCATTCGAGCACTCGGGCACTGCCCGAGGGCCCAGGGTCAGTAGGGGGCCCCATGAGATTTCCCTAGTACCTTTCATTGGCTTTTTCATAGGCTTTTTTGGGTGTGGGCGAGGACACAGGGGCCCCATGATCCCCTATTGCCCGGGGGCCCCATGAGTTGTCAGTCCGCCCCTGTACCAGTAAGCGACACACATGCACCTCCACATCCACATTATGTAAAAGAATATTTGATTCTGCCCAGGAGACTTTCTTCCATTGCTCTGTGGTTCAGTTCTGATTTACACATACCCATTGTAGACACTTTTGGCTGTGGACAGGGGTCAGCATGGGAACTCTGATCAGTCTGTTCAGCCCCATATGCAACAAACAGCAATGTCCATTTTTTTCTGCTTTCAACACTTCAGATTCAGGAACAACATGTTTACTTGCTACCTAATATATCCCATTGACTTTCAAATGCCATTATAATGAGATCATCAATGTTATTCTCTTTACCTGACAGTGGTCATAAGGTTATGGCTCTTTAGTGTATCATATACTTCATTTAACATTTCTAGGTTTGCAGAAGGTTGGATGGATACTATAAATCCAAAGAAGTTATTTTAATTTGTAGGATAGTAGCCAAAGAAGTGGTGCAATACCTTTGTATAAGAGGAAGAGTCATGTAGCTGTGTAGAGCATATTTGTCTTATCAAATTAGATTAATCTGTGCATTAGATGTTGGTGATTCAACCCTGAAATGTGTACCAAAGGCAACTTCCCTTCACAAAAGTGATTTATGCAGAATAGGTGACCAATTAAAATTATTGATATACTATATATATATATATATATATATATACTACACTGCCATCTTTCTAAAGCAACTACAACCTATATACTGTCATCTTTATGATGCAGATACAGTGGAAAAAGCATGTCCCCTGCCAGCAGTCTCAGAGTGGGGTACTTGCTCTCTGTTGTGGAAGCAGTGGTCTCTCTGTAGAGCTCCAACATTCCCTTACTAAGTCAGACCAGACCTATAGTTCTTCAGTTAGTAAAGCTTATGTTTTTGTTTCAAAATCACTGACATATCAGGGGTGCATAAGACCTGTGCAGAGAAGTCACTGCTTCCACAAAGAGAACAATGGTCCTACTACTGCAGGGGTCTCCAAACTTTCCAAACAAAGGGCCAGTTTACTTTCCAAACAAAGGGCCCAGTTTACTGTCCTTCAGTCTTTAGGGGGGCCAGACTTTAGGGGGACAGTAGAAAATGCACCAACGTCAGTGAGAGCAAACAATGCCCCATCATTGGTTTTAGTGGGGGGATTAGTGCCTGATTGTTGGTATCAATGGGGAGAAAAGGGCCCCATCATTTGTGTCAGTGGAAGGATTAGTGCCCCAAGGGCCAGATAAAAGCAGGCAAAGGGCCACATCCAGCACCCGAGCCACAGTTTGGAGCAGGGGCAGACTGACCATTTGGAAACTCGGGCACTGCCCGAGGGCCCGGGGTCAGTAGGGGGCCCCATGAGATGCCCCTGGTACCTTTTTCATAGGCTTTTTTGAGTTTGGGCAAGGCACAGGGGCCCCATGATCCCCTATTGCCCGGGGGCCCCATGAGTTGTCAGTCCGCCCCTGGTTTGGAGACCACTGTACTACTGTATGCAGCGTGGTGGCAGTATATACATTTCTCTACTCAGGCTGTGGTTGCCCGTTAAAGAAATCAAGATAAAAGATTATTATTATTATACAGGATTTATATAGTGCCAACAGTTTGCGCAGCTCTTTACAAAATGAAGGTAGACATTACAATTACAATACAATTTGGTACAAGAGGAAACAGAGAGCCCTGCTCCTTAGAGCTTACAATCTAGGAGATACGATCTTGAATGTCTTTTGTTCTGATACGCCTGGAATATTTAGCTGATTTAAACTGAAATTTCAGTTGGGCCTAAAGTCTAAGTTCACCTTTTCCAGAAAATAGCCAATGCAGTCCAGGGGTTCCAATAGATGTTAAAAAAATAGCACAGCTTTGTTCCTTAATTTTATTGTCATACCTGTAGGTAATTTGACCCCTGATCCCCCCCCCCCCCCCTTCCCAGAAGTTTGACTTTAGTTAGCCATTCCCAAGTCCGGCCTCATTTCTTAGTCAATGGTTTTTATATCCCAGCCACAATGTAGGATGTGGAGATTGCTAACTGGGAGATGTTTGTTTTTTTCTCAGCCAGGTTTCCAGAAGGTCCAAGTCCTGGTAGACATTAAATCATGTTATGTCAATACCCCTTTCCTGCACATTAGGGGATGTCAGGAGTAGGGATGAGCTAAAGTTAGATATCACTTCACCAAAATTAGAGTCAATGCAGGAGCAAAATGAATGTGGTTCTGGTGGTGTTTAAAGGCACAATGGGCTGTAAATGGCTCCTGAGGGTTACACAAGTTCTTTTTTACTATCCTAGACCTGTTCTTGTGCCAAAAGGCAGCCATTCACTAAATGAGAGTACGATATTAGCTGATGCAGAACATGGAGAATTCCCAGAGTTGCCTGTTTGTAGCCCACGTATCGTCACATCCATCCATGTATTCTCGCAATTACCCAACTGTTTCCCCCGTGTGTTTAAGTTGCCAGCATATTATAGCGATTGCCTGTTTCTAGTCTATTTGCATAATGAATCCAGTCTGCTCATCCCTAGTAGGGATCTAAACACCCTATTGTGATAACTGCTAGTTTATAGCCTTACAGGTACCTTTTGATTGAGTACTGCCCCTCCAGTATATTACCCATCAGACTAGTACAGTAAGGTCTTTCTATCTATATTTTCCCCTTGTACATAAAAAATACACAGACTTAGATACGCATCCTATATTGGTATGGTATGGTGGATCATACAAGTTCTTGAAGAACTGCGCATGTCCCATATCATCATCAGATGAACACCAGGGGCTAATAAAGGCAACCAATATTCTTCATCACATTGTTTTCCATCCATTGTTTCTGGGATTCAGCAGATCACTACTTTTATAGCCAATATAGAAAATGTCAGACGTTGTCCAGCATGCTGGAAAGTGCTTTTTGACATCTGAAAACAATCGTACTTTTCATTAACTTGACACCGAAAGATTAGTGTACATAGTATTGAATTTGTGTTGCATCAGCTAAAATATGGCCTGTTTACTGTAACAGAATTGATGTGAGAAGGCCTAATGATCCAGAGAACAGCGGTATGACATATATCATTTTAACTTTCTTTCACTACAAAATGTTCTAAACGAATTTACTGCAGTCCATACATCTATATGGTGTTATTTGGCCGTACTTAATAGAGTAGTTCAAAGGGTAATGATTTTCAAAGACAAATAACCTATAACCACCAATTACCTTTAACCTTTCATTGGTTTAGAGTTGCTAGGACAGTGAAAGAACATTGTTGATTGGCTATGGGTTACTGCACTTTTCACATAGTTCCTCGCCTTATTATTTCAACACAATAGTTATTTCATGAGGAAATGCCAAGAACAGTGGTAATGTGCAAAGTTCAATAAACTAAAGTACCAAACAAATTTTATTTTAATGCATTGGATAAGTAAATGTTGAATTCTGATTGGTTTGTATGTGTTACTGCATTTTACACATTGCTCTCCGCATTATTACATTAGTGTTAGTGTACATTAAGACAATTATTTTTTACTTTCAGTCCCCTGATAATAATAAATATTAGCTCATCTCTCCTGTTTATTCACTGGAGTACATGTATACCTACAAAGAAGGGTGTCGTGACCCTCACAATGGAGGGGGGTAGAAACTTGACCAAAAGCTCACACTCAAATAAGATACAAGTACTTATGAGTCCGATATTTCTGGCATGTCATTGTACTACCCGATAAAATGAGAAATCTATAATAAGGGTGCTTTTAGACTAATGAATGCAGGGGATACAGCAGGTCTTGGTATTACCTTTGACATTTGGGATGTGTGGGGGGTTCTAGAAGATAGTTTTCCACCCAAATACCCCAACTGTTTATACATACCTTGCATTCTCTACTGTGCCACTTCATTCACCTGTCAGGGCCAAGTAAAAAAGTCCTATGTACAATATGAGTTGGTGTAATGAAAGCATATTACCTCCCTCTCTTCCTTCTTGACAGCATCAAGGTCTGGGGTTTGGTTGCATCCAAAGCAATATTGTGGAAGGGAGAAGAAAGAGTCGCATATCTCACCCTGAAGGTGAACTCAAGTGAAAGTGGGGGAGCTAAAGGAAGGTAGGTATAGGGCTTGGATAGGTGGGGATGGGGGAAGGGGCATTAAATGAACTTGTTATTTTGCCCTAATTTGGCAACATAGAGGTTGGTCAAAATGAAAAAGATTCTGCTGAATTTGTTCCATTTGTTTTGATCAATTCTGCAATGAGCAGCATGGTTCAATTCTACCTATAGCTTGTTATACACTAGTACAGGAGTCCCCATTTTTTTTAAACAAAGGGCCAGTATACTGTTCTTCAGACTGTTGGGGGCCAGACTGAGGCCAGTGGGAGTAGAAAAAAAACTGTTGTTAGTGGGAGTAAACAATGACCCATTGTTGGTGTCAGCAGTAGGAATATTCATTATTATTTATTACAGGTACTTATATAGCACTGTTAATTTACACAGTGCTTTACATATATATTGTACATTCTCATCAGTCCCTAACCTTCAAGGGGGGTGTACAATCTAAGGTCCCTAACCTACATTCAAACATACACAAGTCAATTTAGACAGGATCCAATTAACCTACCAGCATGCCTTTGGAGTGTGGGAGGAAACCAGAGTACCTGGAGGAAACCCACACAGGCACAGGGAGAACATGCAAACTTCAGACAGGTGGTGCCATGGCTGGGATTTGAACCAATGACCCTAGTACCACCAGGTGGAAGTGCTAACCATTTAGCCACTAAGCTTCCTGCAGTGCCCCATTGTTGGTGTCATTTGGAGTAAATGTGGCCCATTCTTGTTGTCATTGGGAGGAATTGTGCCCCATTGTTGGTGTCATTAGGAGGAATTGTGCCCCTTTTTTTATGTCAATGGGAGGACACATGCCCAATTGTTGGTGTCACTGGATGTAATAGTACCCCAAGGGCTGTATAAAAGCATGCAAAGGAACGCATTCAATTTCTGGGCCGCAGTTGGAAGACCACTGCATTATTAGAATATCATTTGAAATTTTTCCTTTTAAGAATGATCACTCAATTTTCTAACCATTATTGGTGTTAAAATGGCATTTGTTTTTGTCTGCAGTGACAAGAAAATTTGAAGGCACAGAATGTTCAAAATGCCGTGCAGGTGCGATCTACAACGGGTGTCACTATTAAGTTAATGACACTCCAAATACAGGTCGTAAACACAGTGCGTTTGCCCACTGCAGATCGCATGGTAAAGCAAATTACATTTTTAAATCCTTTACGGTCACACAATTGTACAACCAATTGAACTCCTTATCTGTATGTGAAAGGTTTGTTCTCCTGTGTTTGCATGAGCTTCCTATTTATGTCCCATCAAAGTGATGGCATGCTAGAATGCACCTGTAGTTAGGTGTGGGGGAATTTGCGGTGGTGATATGATTGCATAACTAGTCCAGTCACATGACAAATATGCCACCTATTACAAGTAATCACTTGAGTTAGAAAATGTATCCTAGTTCACTGTTAGTAAAGCACAAATGAAGTGATAGAGCTTGGCTCTACTCTGCAGCATACTGCAGGTATGAGCTGGTCCTGTCGGCACCATTTAGCTTGACAAAAGTTTTCAAAATCAAAGGAGTTGGATGGAAATTTATCAGCCAAACAGTGGCTGCATCCAATCAGTTGTTTCCTTTTTAATCACTTGAACCTCCTTTTTAGATTGTAAGCTCCAACGAGCAGGGCCCTCTGATTCCTTCTGCATTAATGTGTATTTCAACTGTACTGTCTGCCCTCATGTTGTAAAGTGCTGTGCAAACTATTGTCGCAATATCAATGCTGAAATGGTAAGCACTTCCGCCAGGCAGTACTAGGGTCGTCATTTCAAATCCCAACCACAGGCACCACCTGCCTGGAGATTGAATGTTCTCCCTGTGGGTTTCCTCCGTGTACTCTAGTTTCCTCCCACATTCCAAAGACATGCTGGTAAGTTAACTGGCTCCTATCTAAATTGACCCTAGTATGTAAATGTATGAATATGAGTTAGGGACCTTACATTGTACACTCCTTGAGCCCTGGTTCACACTGATGCTGTGTGGAATTCACAGCGTTTTCTGTGCAAATTCCACACCGTATCAGAATCGCACCCTGTTCATGCGAACCGCTGCGGGGGTGTATGTTAAGTTAACAACACCCCAAAAGCGGTCTGCAAAACGCGGTGCGATGTGCAGAATTGGATCACATAGGTGTTAATACCCATATGATCCGATTCTAGTGTGGACCCAAAAAATGGTCCTGCACCTTTTTGGTACGATTAGAGCCATACAAAATGTATGGCTCCAATCGCACAGCACACAAATCGCATGTGATCTGCACAGAATGCGGTGCAGTTACTGGGCGAATCACATGCGATATACCGCACCGTATATATGTGAATGCAGGCTGAAGGTTAGGGATTGATGTGTATGTACTATATATATATATATATATATATATATATATACACATATATGTAAAGTACTGTGTAGATTTACGACTATATAAGTACCTGTCATAAATAAATAAATGTAGTCACTGTGTGGGTATTCAGACAGCTGCGGCTGTCTGAATACAATAGCCAGCAGTGGAGAAGGAAAGAAATCAATGCATGTATGTCTAGCCTTACCCAGCATGCAATGGGGAGGATTTACTAAATGAATACAGGCTTTTCACTTAGCTTAGTAAGTAAGCTGCAGCCATGTTCATTTCAGTTATCCAGCCATGTGTAAATGGGCAGCACAGTGGCTAAATGGTTAGCACTTCCACCTGGCAGTACTAGGGTCATTGGTTCGAATCCCAACCACAGCACCTCCTGCATAGAGTTTGCATGTTCTCCCTGTGCCCGCGTGGGTTTCCTTCAGGTACTCTAGTTTCCTCCCACACTCCAAAACATGCTCGTAGGTTAATTATCCCTAGTATGTTTTTGAATGTAAGTTAGGGACCTTAGATTGTACACCCCTTGAGGGTTAGGGACTGATGTGAATGTATAATATATATATATATATGTAAAACACTGCGTAAATTGACTGCTATATAAGTACCTGAAATAAATCAAATAGTTTCTATTTGAATGTCTTGCGCAAGATCAACAGAGTTTCACCTTATTTACTAAACTATGTGAACAGCTTCGACTTCTTTAACAAATCAAGTCTATTGAATTGGATGTGTGTGTTGGCTAAAGAAGGAGATCATATGAGAGTTTGATAACTTTCTTCTAAAATAATCAGATTGCCGCATGCATGATCCAATTTGTTGGTAAAATGTATTGATGGATATTTTGGCAAAAGGTTCCAGGTTATCAGCCTTGCATGCCTCATTTCCCTTACTTAGTCCAATACTTGTTAGGAATGAGATTACAAAGCAGTCATACTGTGCCCCCTTCATAAGATCAGGAAAAGCTTATCTTACTCGGCAGATTATGAGCTAAGTACATCACACTCTGACCTCTGGATCCAGAACTCTTGGCATGGCTTATAGTGTGAAATAGCTAATAAAATAGTCAGAACGCAGATTGATGCCTCAGCATCCAGAATGATATTCTCTGTTCAAAGCCTTTCCTTATCAGAGGAAGTGACAAAAGTAACCTTTATTCCTTTGTCGTGTCCTATGAAGCCCTCCAACCATATCTTATCTTCTAGATCAGAGGCACAGATAAGGAGGGAGCCCAAATTAACCGCCCCCCTTACATTATTCACAAACAAAAGGCAAGGTGTTTGTAAATAAACATCACCAGTACAGTACAAGAGATGATGGAAATGGGAGCAGAGCATCTAAATCCCCCCATCATATTGCTGGGAATGATGGAAGAGCTTACACAAAACCACTCAATGTTTCCAATACACATCACAATTTTTCACAACTGACAATTGTCCGAGGTCCATGAGGTTAAAAGGTTGAGTCCTGAGAACTTCCTGACACCCACCAGTTGTATTTATTCTTTTGTTGTTCCTAAGACACCCAAAATGTTGGACGATTGGCACGAGGGTAAATTTCCTTGGCCCCATGAAAATTGTCTAGAAAATGTCTATTTTTTTTATTTTATCATGGCCATAAAAGCTTTTTTATCCAGTTGATCTGCGATTCAATCAAAACGATTGAATCTGCAAAAAATCAAATAGCCAAAATTCCCCTTCTGATTGATTTAGACTCAATTTCAGTTGCATTAGATCAGACTGAATCAGTTGGCCAGGGCGGAAAATGATCAATCTTTTTGTATCCATTTTATGATGGCCATAAAAGCTTTGATTGTTTTTAATTTTTTATATCCAGTTGATCTGCAATTCAATCAAAACGATTGAATCTGCAAAAAATCAAATAGCCAAAATTCCCCTTCCGACTGACTTAGACTCAATTTCAATTGCATTAGATCAAACATAGGTGTCCGTTTATGACACAGAGAATAGCTGCGATTCAGAGGATTGCAGCTATTCTCTGGTGATTCAGAGTTTATGACACTCAGGAGATCAGTGGAGAGAACGAGTTTATATAGCGCCAAAGGGTTTGCTCAGCGCTCAATAGGGGGGGGACAATACATGGCACAGTACAACAAAGACAGACAGCGTACGAGGGGTAAGAGGGCCCTACTCTTACGAGCTTACAATCTAGGAGGGAGGGGGTAACATGTTCCTCTTCACTGGAGATCCCTCCAGATTCTCCAGCCCAGAGCTGGAGAATCGGAGGAACCGCAAACTAAGCGGCGATAATTTACCTCTGTTTAGTAAACTGATCTTTTACTGTAATCTCGCGAGATTATAGTAAAATCAGCCATTTTCCAGCGTTTGTAGACTGTTTTCCAGCGTTTGTAGACCGTTCTCCCTTCGTTCGGAGAACTGCTTTATAAAAGGCATTCACAGGAGAACTGTGTTCTCCGAGAATGCCGGAGAACTGAGCAGCGATCATTTATCGCTGGTTCATAAACGGACACCTGAGTCAGTTGGCCAGGGTGGAAAATTATCGATCTTTTTCTATCAATCTCCTAGATTGTAAACTCGAAAGAGCAGGGCCCTCAATCCCCTCATGTTTTGCATTGTATTGGTATTGTTCTGTCACATGTTCTGTCCCCCTTTGTAATGTACAGCGCTGAGCGAACTATTGGCGCTTTATAAATACTGTATAATAATAATAATAATAATCCATTTTATGATGGCCATAAAAGCTTCGATTGTTTTAATTTTTTTTTATCCAGTTGATCTGCAATTCAATCAAAACGATTGAATCTGCAAAAAATCAAATAACCAAAATTCCCCTTTTGAATGATTTAGACTCAATTTCAATTGTATTAGATCAAACTGAGTCAGTTGGCCAGGGTGGGAAAATTATCGATCTTTTGTATCGCCATCTTTTTGTATCCATCTTTTATGATGGCAAACAATCAAATAACCAAAATTCCCCTTCCAAAAGACTCAATTTGTTGCATTGATCAAACTGAGTTTGGCCAGGGTGGAAAGTTATTTTTTGTATCCTATTTTATGATGGCCATAAAAGCGTTTTTATTTTTTTTTATCTTTGATCTCGATTTAATCAAAACGATTGAATCTGCAAAAAATCAAATAGCCAAAATTCCCCTTCCGACTGATTTAGACTCACTTTCAGTTGCATTAGATCAAACTGAGTCAGTTGGCCAGGGTGGAAAATTCTTGATATTTTTGTATCCTTCAGCAGCATTGAGATACTTTGCTCATTAATACAATGATCTTTTGATCAGATTATTAGATTGCATGGTCAAAACAGAGATATGATCAATAATTTACTATCAAAAGTTTCAATCCTATCCTAACTATTGATCGTATTAATCTACTTCCCGTGTGTGGCATATCAACCAAACGGGTTGTCAACTATAGATTGATTATTATGACCAGGACACATCGGTCAGAAAAGAAATCGATTATTTATCAAAGCATCTATGGCCACCATAAGTGTGAGAAAGCATTGACAGTAAGAAGGCCATGTTCCCCAGCCGACATGTTACATCCTATCCCTGAAGCTCAAGCCAGCTTCTGGCTTTGGGACGGCAGCAACCATTCTAACCATAAGCACTGCATGTACAAGTGCCTCTCCTTAGGTACATATACATGTGAGTGTAATTGTAAGGTTTTATATGGTTTAACCACTTGCCCTCCTGAGGATTTACCTCCCTTCCTGACCAGGCCATTTGTTGCATTACAGCGCTATGTTACTTTAACTGACGATTGCTCGGTCATGCAACGCTGCACCCAAATGAAATTTACGTCCTTTTTTTTCCACGAATTGAGCTTTCTTTTGGTGGTATTTGATTGCCTGTGCGTTTTTTTTATTTTTTGCGCTATAATAAAAAAAAGACTGACAATTTTGAGAAAAGAACAATATTTTTGACTTTTTGCTATCACACATGTCCAGTAAAAAAATTTTAAAAATCGAATTCCTCATAAATTTAGGCCAAAATGTATTCTGCTACATGTCTTTGCTAAACAAAATCCCAATACATGTAACTTATTTATTTCAAGTACTTATATAGCGCTGTCAATTTATGCAGCGCTTTACATATATATTGTACATTCACATCAGTCCCTAACCCTCAAGGGGTGTACAATCTAAGGTCCCTAACTTACATTCATACATACACATTTTTTTTTTTTTAAGTCTGCAAACGTGCAACTATAAACGAAAAACCCGTAAGTGTATCACAAAAAAAGTGCAAGTGCAAAACACCACACGAAAAAGTGCACTTAGGGGTGTGCTGTGTCCTACCCCTAAAGGGGCTTGGACCGCTTACCCTGATCCCCCGGGGCACGAAGCTCCTGACGGGGACAAGGTTCCCAATTGGTCCTCCTGGCCAAAAGGCCTGGTGGACCACTGTTCCTTGTGCCCAGCCGAAGCCAGACACACAGTACTTGGTCAGGGGGCTCTCCCGAAGAAAAGCCCCCTAGGGATCAGGGGAGGAAGGAACCAAAAGGCCACACATCCTCCCCCTAGACTTCAGGGTAGGCCGGAGGACCCACACCCTCCATCCGTGAAAACACACACATAAGCGAAAGAAAAAGTGACAAACGTGGGAGGTGTAAATAAATTAAATAAATAGAAAATAAAAAAAGTGGTACCGTGCCAAATAGTGCACAGACCAACGCCGCTTACCCCAAAAACCGTAGCATCCTAATACACAGTACTCTTCCTAATGTCACAAAATCATGCAAAAACGAAAACCGAACGTTACAGTCTACAATAGGCATCGGGTGTGGGGGGGGGGAAGGGGGAAAAAAAAGGGGGGAAACACAGGCCCGAAGCTTTATTGAAGGGACAAAGACACGCAAGGGGGAGTAGGGGGAAGGGGGGAATCTTCAGACGTCCTCTTCCTCCTTAAAGTCCATCAAGTTATAGTCTCTGAGCAGACTGAGGATCAGTCTGCGGCAGTCTTCAATGGACATCCTCTCCCGCTGGTGGATGAGGCGCTTTCTGGCGCACCATTAAAGCGGGCCTTAAAACAACACAGCACCCGCCAGGCGCCGTCAATGTCCTCCAGAGAAAAAGTCCCACAGAATAGTCCATTCAACACCCCAAAGTGAGTGATGGCTGTCTGTGGTACAAAGTCTTTGAGTTCAGGTTCCAGGGCCCCCAACAGGGCCTGAGCAAATGAGCACTCCCAGAAAAACGTGGTGAGACGTTTCCTCGTGGATGATGCAGAAGGGGCAGTGTCTGTATCTGCTCAGGTTCCTGGCATGCATAAATGTCCTGAGAGGCAACCCCCCTTGGATTGCCATCCATGCCAGGTCTTTGTGCCTGTTGGTGAGAATGTTGGAAGAAACATTCCTCCAGACCACCTTGCAGGTGTCTGAAGGCAGGCCTGGAACCGACTCCAAAATGTCGCTTGCTCTGATCAGCTTGTAGATGGTCTTTGGCTTCCACAAGTCAGGCTTGACTCCTGCAGCCCCTGCTCCTTGATGAACTTGAAGGTATCCAAGTAGTACCAAGGGGTGTCCCAGTTGTAGGGGATGGAACTGTCCCAAGTGTCCCATCCGAGGGACCTCCAGAGAGGCAACAGGAAGAAGCGAGACATTGCGTTCCCGCCAGAGTCCATAATCCGTTTGGGGCAAAGTTCTGCAGATGCAGTTGCAAGCAAAGAACACCCTCAGTTGGGTGGCGATGTCGGGCACGCCCTTACCGCCGCCCTTGAGGGGTTCCTTGAACATGACTGCCCGCTTCACTCTGTCCATCTTGGAGCCCCAGATGAAGTGAAAACACCGCCCTGGTGATGGCCTTGCAGGTGTTGACCCGCGGGGGCCAGGCCTGGGTGAGGTACTGCAACACAAGGGAGAATCTCGCTGCGGTAGAGTACCAGTGTCTTCCTTCGATGGAGAGGTCACTGAGGCTCCAAAGTCCAAATTTCTGCCGCATTTTAGCCAGTCTCTCCTCCCAAGACTTCAGGGCTGCGCCCCTCGGCACCAAATTAAAACTCCCAAAATTTTCATGAAGTCTGTCTTGATGCCAAAGGGCATGGATGCAGAAAGAAGGCAGGAACCACTTTCCGAAGAGCATGACTTCCGACTTCCCGCAGTTGACCTTTGCCCCCGAAGCTTGGCCGAAGTCCTCGCAGGTCTGGACGAGCAGGTCGATGGAGCGCTGGTTGGCACAGAACACCGTCACGTCGTCCATGTAGAGCGAGCACTTTCACTTCCCGTCTGTCTGGTCCCGGTGCGGTGATTCCCCCAATCTCTGGATTCCGTCTGATGCATTCGGCGAAGAGCTCTATACAGCAAACAAAAACCAGAGGTGAAAGAGGGCAGCCTTGTCTGACCCGGAGAGGACCGGGGAGGG